CAAACATTAGCATGTCGTTTGTATCGATAAAATCGATAAGCTAGTCTACCCCTAGGGTACTAGAGGCGTGGGGTACTATTGGAGTATTTACGCTATATAAGCCTACTAAAAGAATCGACCAGAATGAAATTTATCGCAAAGTCTCTTTAAATACACGAATACGGCGCGTTTTTTTGAAAATCACTGTAAAAAATTACTTTTTTCCAACTTCTAAGAAACCTTTTTTTCAGTTTTCTACTTCACACTTTTAGTTCTCACTGTTTTCAATCAGAAAACACATTTAGCTACCTATAAAAACCTCAAAAACAATCGTTTTTGTGTCACCGATTTGGCTTTTTACTCTTTGTAAAAAAAGTTTAAAAGCTTAGCCTGTTTTATTTGTGAACAAGTTTAAGCCATTTATCTTGCCATAGAGTTACCGAAAAAAAAGAAACAATTTAAAGCAACACAAACACCTCTGGAAAGAATCACACAAGAAAACTCTGGACAAAAAAAGGAAATGACCCTTGACACGAGAATAAATGTCAGCAAATAAAGGCAGGTTAAAGGAAAAAAAAAAGGTTAACACTATGAAGACTTTGGCATACAAGAAACTGTGTAAAATGTTGGAAACATTTGAAAGGAAATCACAAACGCTAACCGAGAGGGCAATGAAATTTCAGCAGAATTGAAAAATCGAAAGAAATCTTCGGAAAATCACAATAAGGCCTAAGGAGAAAGAGCAAAAACACGAATATACCTATGGATACGCTGCATCAAAATCGATCAAGATGAGCTTTCTCTCCTCGGTTCCGTTTCTCTGTACCGATGACATTACACATAAAAGAGATGTTTCGGTCGCGAAGAGACGCCGAATGCAACTGCCAGCCTGAAGACGAACGAGGTCACGAACAAAGATACCTGAAAATCACAAAAATTCTCGTATAGTTGCTAAAAAAAATTAACAACAGTATACTAACCCTGAACATAAATTTAAGCTTGAATGGTTAACGAGCCAAGCTATGTAGTTAATAAATTCTACTTTAGAAGAAAATTTGATGTCTGGACAAATTTGCGTATCTTATAGCCTACATTACTAGGTAATTTAGAACTACTTACCTTTATCCACATCCCACAACTTGACCGAGCCATCGTTAGAACTTGTCACCAAAAGTCCCGAGTCGAGCAGTTGCAATGAAGTGATGTTCAACGCGTGACCATTTACGCCTTGTAAATGTAAATGGTGAATGCACGAACCACCGTCACGAATCTCCCAAACCTAAAGAAAACGAAGTAGTTGTCATAAGATTGATTAAACGTACCCCAACGTCCGAGCAGGTATAGCAGGCGACCAAACTGTTTCTGCGAAGCTGCATGTGATAGAAATTGACTGATTCTTGACTGATAGGAATTGCGATGCATGCTAAAAGAAACAAATATAAATGATATTGTAACAGAATAGCGAACAAATAAAACCCACTTCCTCCTCGTATATCCCAGACGCGAATCGTTGCATCATGACTTCTCGAGACGACAAGATCGCGTTCTGGCTCAAACTAAAATAGAATCATGATTAAAGCCAAAAATTGACAATTCAACCCACCAAAAGTGAATCGATCCCATCGGTGTGACCCGTCAGCGTGTGCAAACACTCCCCCGTTTGCACATTCCAAATCTTATAGAATATTATAAAATTGAACAAAAAAGCAGTACAAACCTTTACAGCAAAATCAGCAGCACCAGACACCACCCGAATTCCATCAAATTGCACACAGCGAACCTGAAATTTAACTTTGCTTCGGCTATAACTTTGATAGAAATACAGCCTCCAAGTGGTCAGTGAAAATGTGAAGGCATTTCCCGTCGACAATGTCCCAGACTCGGAGCGTTGCATCGACCGATCCAGAAACAAGACTAAAACATTATGCTTTTCGCTCACGCACAAAAATTATATTACTCACGTTGTGCCATGTAGACTCATGCACCGAACAGTACCCGTATGACCCTGCAAAACATGACGCTGTACACCGGTTTGACCACACCAAACGCGCACGGTTTGATCAGACGAGCCACTTAAATGTTTTAATAGACTTTGTTCTCACAAGTATTTTTGTCTAGAATTTTGTTAGCATTGGCATTGTCAGCATTCATTGGAAACACTTATCAAATGCACTAGCTAGAGCCTATTAACTAACCTGACAATATATTTACCATCATCGCTCACTTCAGACGTCAAAACATCATCCATATGGCCAGTTAGAGTGAAAGCCAGCTGAAACAGGACGTAAAATAATGGTAAAACGAAACAAACTTGAGCATCATCAACATTCCAAATCCGCAACGTACAATCATGATAGTAACCAATAACGATACGACCAGACTGAACTTGTAGATAATTCATCAGATGTTGATCGTGAACCTCAAAAACAATTTTTATAGCCAAAACATTTGTCCAAACTCTTAGAACAGTGCTTGATTGAATCAGTCGGGATCGCCAATTGGAAATGATTCGCTGCTTCCGCAAGTACAGTGACTTCCATGAGGATCGCTCATAACACCTAGAAAAAATTTAATTCAGCAACAAGTCGGCACTAACTGGCCATATGCGATCTCGCGTTCTCGTCGATTCTGATGTGCTTCTTGAAGGTCCATATGTGAGAAGATATGGATTCCCGCTTCCTCATTTGCTCGCTTCGTCGCCCAGCCTCCGAGAAAACGAAAACTGAACAAAAAGAAGCTAGTGAGAAGCTTGTGACAAATCCTTTACTAATCGTATTCTTAAATCTGATCCAGTTCATCGGAACAAACATTATCATTTGTTTTCTTTCGCTTTAAAGCTTTCTTTGCTGCAGAATAATCACATTATTGAATCAGTAACAGTATCATCTAGTTTAATCTAACAGATTTGTATTTTTAAATGTTCTATTATTTGTTCAAAACTATAACACACCTTGGGGCATCAAATTTCACATATCCTTTCCCCAAACATTTCTGTCGCCAGGTCCGATCATCTTCACAAATTCGCTGCCACGTCCGCGAAACGCCAGCACAAACCGTCAAATCGCACGGTGTCAAATAGGCGATGATGCGATATGCAACCTAAAAACAAACAATTAATCCCGCAAGCTTTAACAAAAGACAAACCTCCTGTGGCAACTGTGACAAGAAATCCTTCTGGAACAATGGATCGATGATATCCCTGAATTTGAAGATTTCACTGTTTAGGGTCATTTTCTTTACTCTTCAGGTTGAGTCTTGCTGCTCTCCGGCCTGTTCGACATCTCCCCTAAATGAAAAATTACAGCAGAGGTAACACCGTAAATAACAAAATGAAAAACCCCTGAGCAAAATACTACTATTACTACCTACCGTAAATATTGTAATGGTACCGCAGCCATTACAAGGAATGAAAGCTTTCCAGCAATGAAGTTGATAGCTGTTCTAGAAACAGTGATCTGAACGTTCAAACATTAGCATGCCGTTTTTATCCATAAAATCGATAAGCTAGTCTACCCTTAGGGCACTAGAGCGATGGGGCACTATTACAGTATTCATGGGACATACACATGCTAAACGACTTGACCAGAATGAAATTTATCGCAAAAAGTCTCGTTAAATACATGAAAGGGGCGCGTTTTAGAACCCGCCAACAAAAGGCCTACGGTAGAATGTCCACAAAACCATATTTTGTGGTTCCAATTTTCAGAAAGCTCTATTCCATTCACACACAAAATAACCTTTAGTGCACCATCTCGTAGATAAGGTTAGGCTTATCAGCAGGATTGAAAAGACGCTGGGGTGTTGAAGCTGCGGGCGGCGAAGATTTACGGGTATTTAACCTGAACGCGCGAAGTTTTTTTCATTCGTCACATTTAGCCGCAAAGTTTTGAGCACTAAATTTATTTGAATTAACTATAATTGTAAATGAAGCACAAAAGGTTTGTCTTTTGTTAAAGCTTGTGAAATTAATTGTTTAGTTTTAGATTGCTTATCGCATCATCGCCCATCTGACACCGCGCGATTTGATCACATGTGCTGGCGTTTCGCGGACGTGGCAGCGAATTTGTGAAGATGTGAAGATGGACGTGGCAACAGAAATGCTTGAAGAAAGGATATGTGAAACTTGATGCGCCAAGGTGTTACAGTTTTGAGCAAATAATAGAACATTTAAAAATACCTATCTGATAGATATGATTTAAGCATACGATTAGTAAAGGATTCGTCACAAGCTTCTCACTAACTTCTTTTTGTTCAGTTTTCGTTTTCTCGGAGGTTGGGCGTCGAATCGAGCAAATGAGGAAGCGGGAATCACAATCTTCTCACATATGGACCTTCAAGAAGCACATCAGAATCGACGAGAACGCGAGATTGCATATGGATTGCATTGCTCTCTCGGTTAGCGCTTGTGATTTCTTTTCAAATCTTTCTAAAATTTTACACACATTTTACACACATTTTACACCGTAGGCCAAAGTCTTCATATTGTTAACCTTTTTTTTCCTCTAACCTGCTTTTATTTGCTGACAATTATTCTCGTAACAAGGGTCATTTCCTTTTTTGCCGAGAGTTTTCTTGTGTGATTGTTTCCAGAGGTTTTTGTGTTGCTTTAAATTGTGTCTTTTTTTCTTTAACTATATGGCAAGCTAAATGGGACGAAGACTCACAATGAAAATCCGGCTCCACCAATGGAAACCTATCTAGAATGGGTTTGGAATGCGTGAAAGAAACTCCCGAAGAACCTCATGATGCTCTCATTTAAGAATCGTGCGATTATCACGGTGGCTACTGATGGCTCGGAAGATGGTCTCATTCACTTGCTTGTTTACCGATAGTTTAGTGATTGCAAAACTATTCTTTTCCCAAAGATTTTTCCTTAAGACTTCTTTGAAAATCACGGCAAAATTTAATCGGTTTTTGTTGATTCTTTTGATAACAAAGCTCACACTTTCGCACTTATTGTTAACTGAACAAATAGATTGATTTCCTGTGCTTTTTCAACAATTTTATCGCTTGTTATTCAAATGCTGGCACACAATTTGCCTTTTTTCCTCATTTTCGGACTCATCGGTGGCTGTTTGAGTGATTGTGGCTATTCGAATTGCGAGAGTTGTGCAGCAGCAACTGATGGTTGTGGGTGAGTGATTGAGGAAATGGGAAATTAAGGAAATGGGGAATTTTTTTCGGAAAAGAAAGATGAAATGAAAGGCCAGATTGGACAAAATAAAAAGTTTTTCATTTTTCTAATCAGGGAAAATTTCTAGTTGGTGTCTCGTTGACGCGAAATGCTCGAAAGAGGCTGACTGCAAGAGTGAAATCTTTCTACAGGTTTACAATCGATTTCGAATCGAAATTTGGCCGAAATCCTTTCCTCCTTTCCTAGAACGATTCCTACAATTGCCCGCGATCTCCAAACGCGAATTTTCCCTTCGATGACACGTTTGGGAGAAAGATGGCACTTCCATTGTATTGGCGGCAACGTATTGGCGGCAACCGAATCCACAGCCATGTTTGAAGTGAGTTTTTAAACAAGTCTGGTACAGGGTTTGTTTCCTTTACAAGTCTCACATTGTTAATCAAAAGATAATCCTTTTTTTGAAGAAATCAGCTCTCCACAACTTATTTCTACAACAGTACCCTCGTCGCATGTGATCACTACAATAAAAGTCTTTATTTCATTGAAATTACTTTAAAAAGTTCTTCAGGTGATTTCTGTTATTCGTATACGGCTTTCGATCTCAGCCGAAAAGCGATAATGATCGCTTTTCGCGGCACAAGCGGAAACTTTGAGACAGTCGCCGAAATATTGGGGATGCTAAAGTAAAAAAATTTTTAAATATTAAAAAGTTTAAATTTAAAGTTTTTTACATAAAGTGTGCGTTCCAGATAGCCTGAAAAATTATTTAAAATTTTTGATTTTTCAAAAAAAACCTGAAAATTTGTTTGGTAAGATTTTATGAAAAATGTTTTTTTTAAAATTTCATTTCCACTAACTATGACTGCCAATGTATTGAATGACATCCAGATTTCAGGAAAAAAGATAACTTTTTGAATATCGGCTTAATTTATGACTATTTCTTTAATGGGTTCTTCTTTTTGTGGCGCGCCGGCTTGGAGGCGCAAGTTATGACGCTGAGAAAAGTCTACCCAACGTACGACGTCTATGTAAGTGCTTTCTTGGGCGCACTTTTCTAAAATGCACTCCAATTTCGGGGATACGATAGCTGATTTGGTTGAACTTCGCCGAATTTGACTTTCAGCTTAAACAGTGGATACGTTACCGTATCCCAAATTTCCATCAGGCATATCCTCCTCACTTTTCAAGCCCATTTTCTAAAGTGCGTTCCAATTTGGGGTTTCCGCTAGCCGATTGCACGTAGAGATGCAAATTTTGGCTAAATTTGAGCTTGAACAATTTCGGAGGTGACCGTGCTAACTTTCAAAAGCCGATTTTTCCAAATAGAAACTATGTCCAAGGGTGCTGTGCGTTCCAGGATCGTGTTCTTTTCCAAAAAATCTTCTAGATCGTCGGGTATTCGCTTGGCGGATCGTTGGCGTCTCTTTGCGCCGCGTATCTCGTCAAACAGGGGCTTTTCGAACCGGAAAAGGTGAGAGAATCGTGGGGAAAAGTCAAGGGTGGAGAATTCAATTTTCTAGATAAAAATCATGACGTTCGGGCAGCCGAGGACAGGCGATGTGAGATACGCGGAGTGGCATGACGCCAATGTGAGTCAAATCAAAAATCTTTTTTAATCCTTTCCACTTCCCAGATTCCCTTCTCCTACCGTGTGGTCCACCACCTCGATCCAATTCCTCACATCCCGCCGCAAGAAGTCGATCTGATGCATCATCGTTTCGAAATTTGGTGAGCAAGAGCCGGCATTGAAAAGAAGAAGAAAGAAGGATGAAGAGGACTATCAAGAGTGAATACTATCAATAGGAGAATTGAAATTTTGAGGCCAGCTTTTTGTGAGAGTAAGATTTGTGATACCAAAACCGTGATCAAATATCAAATTTGTGGACCAAAAGCCTTTCCCAGGTACGACAATGCGATGACTACCGCCAACTACACAATTTGCCCCTATGGTGATTTGATCGGTCAATGCGCGAACAGCAAGATCATGTGGCAATTCGATGTGAGTATTTTAGTGGGATTATTGTAATTTTAGCAATCAAACAATTCAGATTTACCCATTTCCAGGACCACACGCACTACTACAATACGGCAGTGAGCGATTGGTGGAAAACGGATTGCAAATAGCCTTTGATAATAAAAACTTAAGGAAGCGTCATTTTGAAATGATAGTTATGATTAAAATGATTAAAAATTTCCATTATACCATCGATTTTACTGGGGATTTTATAGAAAATAAGCGTAACATCAACCGCGACAAAACAACAACAAATATAACAACTATTGGGCTGGTGAATTGAAAACTGCCGGACTTTGAACCAAAAATTCATTCAACATAAAGCCATAAATTCATTTCAAATAATTTCCATTATTATTGACGACTTCTGCCCATTTTACAGGCAATTTGCGGATTCCTCTTTCGTGGTAGGATTTTGGTTTTGAATCGAAAAACTTCCAAAGCCAATTTTCGACTGCTTCTTCCGAATCGAAGTGTTCTCCCGCAAGCTCATTACTCATGATCCAGAATAAATAGTAATCAAAAGGGGCGAGGTCCGGACTGTATGGGGAATGCGCCAAAAGTTCCCAAACAAGGCTATTTATTTTAGAGCGAGTCAGTTTTGCAACATGAGGGCGCGCGTTGTCGTGGATGAGAACGATCTTTGACTTGGAGGGCCTATTCTTCTTTAGGGATTCATTCACCTTTCCCAACTGTTCGCTGTATTTGATTGCATTAACAATCGTCTTGCTATCCAGCAACTCCCAGTACAAGTGTGTGAGACAAGTGTGAGACTCAAAAATGGAGGACTGGAGATGTCCCAGTGTCCCAGTTTGAGCATTTTCTTCAAAAGAAACCCATTTTGGTGTCAATATAAAAGTTGTAGAGAATCAAAAATTAGGCTTATAGCCAAATTTCCAAAAAGATACACTTAGTAGTTTCGCTTAAAATGCAAGTTTTGTTGCAATTTTTGTGAAAATTCGTAAATTTGGCATTTCTTGAAAACCAGTTTTTGAATCGTTCTAAAAATTTGGATATAAGCTTAGTTTTTGATTCTCTACAACTTTTCCATTGACACCAAAATGGGTTTCTTTTGAAGAAAGTGCTCAAACTGACACAGATGACAATAGCCGGCGGCAGTTTTCAATTCACGAATCCAATATTCAAGAAAGGCTAACCAGAATAAAACAAGATGAATAATTAAACAATTTCCTCATTCTTTAGCCATCAGAAGTCCATTATCGTAGAGAAGGCGAGCCAATTCGAGCACATATTTGTTGACCGTCTTGTTTCCTTTCTTGTTTTTCTTCGATATCCTGATCTCGCCAAGTTTCGTCCATTCCGGGTTGGCGCTCTGGCGTTGGCAAAAATCGTTGACCATACGACGTTTGATCTTTTTAATAAAAGCGATTCTTAAAACCATTTTTCATTTCTCCGAAAACTATCTGAAATTTATGACTATACCAGCCGGCAAATAGAATTTTGTGTAAATTCTAGCGTAAATTCAACTTAGTGCACACTAAAATTAGCTCAGAATTTCGAAACGAAACGAATGGCGCCATTTTCGGAGGGATTCAAGTGAATTCTCTTGGAAACGGAAAGCGTGACCTTAAAATTGGTAGAAAAATTCACTGCAAATCGCTTCAAAAGTGGCGCCATTTGATTGACTTCGAAATTCTGAGCCAGAAAAGAAAAGTGGCACTTCAGGGTGGGGGAAACCGTAACTTCACGAGACATTTTCCGAGGAGCTGAGTGCATTTTCTGAGAGTTTCGCTCGGAGCTAGAAACGCTAGAAAAGCTAGAAAAGCTAGAAAAAGTGCTCCCATTTTCACTATTCACTCGAAAGTGACGAAAGTTGAGAAGTTAGCAAAAGAGACGTGGCTTTATTTCACGAAAAATTCACGAAAAAATAACAACACGGTTATTTCGACACTTTTCATTCACTCGTTAGCCTCGACAGCGTTTCCTTTCTTGTAAGAGTGAACGGCGGGGAAATAGTCTTCTAATTGTTGTGCTGCCTTCATGTTTTCAAGCCGATTGTGCTAAAATAAAATTTTGATGAAAAATTTCGTAAAAATTTTCGTCTGAAAGTGGAAGCTGAAAATGGTTTTGGGTCGTATTGCATTTAAAAGAATCCTCATTAAATTTGGCTAGAGAAGAGTAGAATTTGTTTTGTATACTCATGTATTAGAACATAGAGAAAATCTGTGTCAAAGTTGAACTTCCAAATTCCGTGACGAGCCTTGGAGGTTGGGAACTTTTCTATTTTACTCTAGAACTCGACTCCCAGTAATCAGATCGACTTGAGGTTGGTTTTAAAATGATCCTCATTAAATTTGGTTATAAAAAAGTACAATTTATCTTGTACACTCATGTGTAAGAAAATAGAGAAAAACGGTGTCAAAGTTGGACGGCTTCTGCGGTTTTTTTCTTAAGGAAAACTTGCAAAAGCCGATCAACTTTAACGACTTTATATCTCGAGGTATGACAGTATGAAAGTAAATTTGCATTTATGATAATTTGGACTCTCATGACAGAAGAGTGCGATCGTTTTTAATTGTTGAATTTGTTCCTGAATTTGTTGCTGTCTGCTGGCTCATAACTCGATGCTCCTGAATTTTTTCATGTCATTTTACATTTCATAGAAACATATTTTCTTATTTGACTCAAAATTTCAAGCATTTCACTTGAATTCCTTGATCGCCTTGAACGCCTTGAACGAGAGGCATCCGGTGGGAAAGCGAATACGAGAAAGGATGCATCGATCAAAAGCCTGCAATTCTTCATTCACATTTGCTAGTCCATTTCAAAAAAAGCTTAGAAAAGACTTTTGTAGAATGAAAGAAGTTAAACAAATCATATCTAGCTTATTAAATTATTTCAAAAATTGCTATGTAATAGGCTGATAAATTCGTAGAATTAGAAGTTTTTGATCAACTTTTAAAGTTCTACTTTCTCAAAAACTCCATCATCAATTTTCTAAAAATTTTCTAACAAATAAAACCTATTGTTGAAAAAGAGCTGATATTCCTGACTTCCAAATGAAACAATTCTCAAATTGAGAGCTGTTCTAGGAACAAAGATCTGAACGTTCAAACATTAGCATGTCGTTTGTATCGATAAAATCGATAAGCTAGTCTACCCGTAGGGCACTAGAGGGTAAAAAAAGTTTAAAAATCTAGCGTGTTTCCTTTTATTTGTGAGCAATTTAAGCCATTTATCTTGCCATATAGTTAACGAAAAAAAGACATAATTTAAAGCAATACAAACACCTTTGGAAACAATCACACAAGAAAGTTCTCGACAAAAAAGTGGCCCTTGTTACGCGAATTGTCAGCAAATAAAAGCAGGTTAACAATATGAAGACTTTGGCATACAAGAAAGTGTGTAAAATGTGGAAAACATTTGAAACGAAACGACAAGCGTTAACCAATAGAGCAATCTCAGAAGAAATCTAAAAAAAAATAAAACTCAGAAGAATTGAAAGCCGAAAAAAATTCTTCAGAAAATCACAATAAGGCTTAAGGGTTGTATTGGGTTGGGGAGAATGAGTCGGCGCAAAACTTTAAAGGGACTTTTTGCACACATAAAGCCTTCTTTAAACATACGTTTGGTTTCATCAAAAGGATCCACTATTTCTCTACAAAATGACTTTTGAGAGATTCCACAAAGCTTTTCTTTCGTGGAGTTTATGAACTTCCAAACGCAGCTGGTTAAAATGGCAAAGAGTCCGACTCATCATTTGAACAGTTTCTTTCACATAAACCTTCTTTGGTGTTTATATAAAAAAGATAGAGCACATTCAATTACTTAAGTTGCCAAATTTGCAGGAAGATCCCACCAATGGCTTTTTCTAGATCACAGTTTGTAGTTTTTGTGAAAAAATGGCTTTTTCCTGAGCGGAGGCGCTGTTTGAATTTTCTTTTAAATGTCATTTTGTAGAGAATTAGTTAACCATTCTACTGATATCAAACGCATAGATTTGACGAAGTCGAATAGAAGTTTTAGACATTTTTTTGATTTTCGGCGCCGACTCATTCTCCCCAACCCAATAGTAGTGCGTGTGGTCCTGGAAATGGGTAAATCTGAATTGTTTGATTGCTAAAATTACAATAATCTCACCAAAAATACTCACATCGAATTGCCACATGATCTTGCTGTTCGCGCATTGACCGACCAAATCACCATAGGGGCAAATTGTGTAGTTGGCGGTAGTCATCGCATTGTCGTACCTGGGAAAGGCTTTTGGTCAACAAATTTGATATTTGATCACGGTTCTGGTATCACAAATCTTACTCTCACAAAAATCTGATAGTCCTCTTCATCCTTCTTTCTTCTTCTTTTCAATGCCCGCTCTTGCTCACCAAATTTCGAAACGATGATGCATCAGATCGAATTCTTGCGGCGGGATGTGAGGAATTGGATCGAGGTGGTGGACCACACGGTAGGAGAAGGGAATCTGGGAAATGGAAACAATTGAAAAAAATTCTTGATTTGACTCACATTAGCGTCATGCCACTCCGCGTATCTCACATCGCCCGTCCTCGGCTGCCCGAATGTCATCATTTTTATCTAGAAAATTGGATTCTCCACAAATTCTCCACACTTGACTTTTTCCCGCGATACTCTCACCTTTTCCGGTTCGAAAAGCCCCTGTTTGACGAGATACGCGGCGCAAAGAGACGCCAACGATCCGCCAAGTGAATGCCCGACGATCTAGAAGATTTTTTGGAAAAGAAAACGATTTTCGGTGATCCTGGAACGCACAGCACTCTTGGACATAGTTTCTGTTTGGAAAAATCGGCTTTTGAAATTCAGCACGGTCACCCCCGAAATTGTTCAAGCCCAAATTTAGCCAAAATTTGCATCTCTACGTGCAATCGGTTAGAGGAAACGCCAAACTGGAACGCACTTTAGAAAATGGGCTTAAAAAGTGAGGAGGATATGATTGATGGGAATTTGGGATACGGTAACGTATCCACTGTTTCAGCTGAAAGTCGAATTCGGCGAAGTTCAACCAAATCAGCTATCGTATCCCCGAAATTGGAGCGCATTTTAGAAAAGTGCGCCCAAGAAAGCACTCACATAGACATCGTACGTTGGGTAGACTTTTCTGAGCGTCATCACTTGCGCCTCCAAGCCGGCGGGCCACAAAAAGAAGAACCCATTGAAGAAATAGTCATAAATTAAGCCGATATTCAAAAAATTGTCTTTTTTCCTGAAATCTGGATGTCATTCAATAGATTGGCGGTCATAGTTAGTGGAAATGAAATTTTTAAAAAAACATTTTCCATAAAATCTTACCAAGCGAATTTTCAGGCTTTTTTCTGAAAAACCAAAAATTTTAAATCCTTTTTTCAGGTTATCTGGAACGTACACTTTATGTAAAAAACTTTAAATTTAAACTTTTTGATATTTAATTTTTTTTTACTTTAACATCCCCAATATCTCGGCGACTGTCTCAAAGTTTCCGCTTGTGCCGCGAAAAGCGATCATTATCGCTTTTCGGCTGAGATCAAAAGCCGTATACGAATAACAGAAATCACCTGAAGAACTTTTAAAGTAATTTCAATGAAATAAAGACTTTGATTGTAGTGATCACATGCGACGAGGGTACTGTTGTAGAAAAAATTTTTCTAGGTGTTATGAGCGATCCTCATGGAAGTCACTGTCCCTGCGGAAGAAGCGAATCATTTCGAATTGGCGATCCCGACCGATTAAATCAAGCACTGTTTTAAAGGTTTGGACAAATGCTTTGGTTATAAAAATTGTTTTTAGGACCGCGATGAACATGTGGTCACTTGTCTACAAATTCACTCTGGTCGTATCGTAGCTGGTTATCATCATGCGTTGCGGGTTTGGAATGTTGATGATGCTCAAGTTTGTTTCGTTTTGCCATTATTGTACGTCTTAATTTAGCCTGTTTTCACTCTAACTGGCCAGATGGGTGTTGTTAAGACGTCTCAAGTGAGCGATGATGGCAAATACATTGTCAGGTTAGTTAATAGGCTCTAGTTAGTGCAATTGATCAGTGTTGCCAAAGAAGCTAACAATTTTCTAGACAAAAGTACATGTGACAACGAAGTCTATTGCAATATTTAAGTGGCTGGACTGATCGAACGGTGCGCGTTTGGTGTGGTCAAACCGGTGCACAGCGTCATGTTCTGCAGGGGCATACGAGTGAAGTGTGGTGCATGAGTCTACATGGTACAACGTGGGTTTTCGAACTTTTGTGCTTTAGCTAAAATGATAATGTTTTAGTCTTGTTTCTGGATCGTGCGATGGAACACTCCGAGTCTGGGACATTGTCGACGGGAAATGCCTTCACATTTTGACTGGCCACATGAGGCCTGTATTTATATCAAAGTTATGGCGTAAGCAAAGTTGAATTTCAGGTTTGTTGTGTTCAATTTGATGGAATTCGGGTTGTGGTTCCTGCTAGTGATTTTACTCTAAAGGTTTGTAATGCTTGCTTGTTCAATTTTATAGTATTCTATAAGGTTTTGAATGTACACACGGAGGAGTGTTTGCACACGCTGACGGGTCACACGGAGCCAATCTATTTACTTTTGGTGAGTTGATTTGTCAAATTTAGGCTTTAGGCAGGATTCTGTTTTAGTTTGAGCCAGAGCGCGATCTTGTCGTGTCGGGTAGTCGTGACGGATCGATTCGCGTCTGGGATGTGCAAAGAGGAAGTGGGTTTTACTTGTTCGCTATTCTGTTGCAATATCATTTATATTTGTTTCTTTTAGCATGCATCGCAATTCTTCTCAGTCCTGGAAGGGGCTTCGGCTCTGGCATGCACCTTCGCGGAAACATTTTGGTCGGCTGCTATGCCAACTCGGACGTCGGGGTATGTCTAATCAAGCCTATGACAACTACTTCTTTTTCTTTAGGTTTGGGACATTCGTGACGGTGGTTCATGCATTCATCGCTTACAAGGCGTAAATGGTCACACGTCGGCCATCACTTGCAATTGCTCGACTCGGGACTTTTGGTAACAGGTTCTTTCGATGGCTCGGTCAAGCTGTGGGATGTGGATAAAGGTATGTTGTTCTAAATTACCTAGTAAAGTAGGCTATAAGAGAAGCAAATTTATCCAGACTTCAAGTTTTGGCTGGCTCGTTAACTATTCAAGCTTTAATTCATGTTGGATACTAAACTATTCTGTTGTTAATTTTTTTCCAATTTCAGGTATTTTCGTCCGTGACCTCGTTCGTCTTGGATATGGCGGTGGCATTTGGCGTCTCAGGGCCGCCGAAACATTGCTCATCTGTGCAGTTAGATCGCGAAACGATCCCAGGGATTCAAAGCTCATCTTGATCGATTTTGATGCATCGTTTCCGTAGGTATATTCGTATTTTTGCTCTTTCCGCTTAGCCTTAGCCCTTATTGTGATTTTCTGAAGATTTCTTTCGATTTTTCAATTCTGCTGAGATTTCATTGCCCTCTCGGTTAGCTCTTGTGATTTCGTTTCAAATGTTTCCGACATTTTACACACTTTCTTGTATGCCAAAGTCTTCATATTGTTAACCTGCTTTTATTTGCTGACAATTATTCTCGTATCAAGGGTCATTTCCTTTTTTTGTCGAGAGTTTTCTTGTGTGATTATTTCCAGAGCTGTTTGTGTTGCTTTAAATTGTGTCTATTTTTCGGTAACTATATGGCAAGGTAAATGGCTTAAACTTGCTCACAAATAAAAGCAAACAGTCTAAACTTTTAAACTTTTTTTTATAAAGAGTAAAAAGGCGTATCGGTGACGCAAAAATGATTCTTTTTGGGGTTTTGATAGGTAGCTAAATGTGTTTTCTGATTGAAAACAGTGAGAAATAAAATTGTGAAGTAGAAAACTGAAAAAAAAGGTTGCTTGGAAGTTGGAAAAAAGTGATTTTTTTTACAGTGATTTTCAATAAACGCACCGTATTCGTGTATCTAAAGAGATTTGCGATAAATTCAATTCTTTTTGTAGGCTTATATACCGTAAATACCCTAATAGTACCCCATCCCTCTAGTGCCCTATAGGTAGACTAGCCTATCGATTTTATCGATACAAACGATGCTAATGTTTGAACGTTCAGATCTCTGTTTCTAGAACAGCTCTCAATCTGAGAATTGTTTCATTGTGAAGTCAAGAATGTCAGCTTTTGATTGCTATTTTATACATGGCGACTTTTAATGAGTAGGCACCCCATAAACCTTATTGATACTTCTCGATATTTGTATATTGATAAGCCTTTTAACGCACTCACCTATGAGGATTTTGCTCTTTGTGAAATAGCAATAGAAATAGAAATAGAAAAGCTGGCATTCTTAGTTTTCCAATGAAATAAGTTTATAGTTGTACGAAAAACCGAGATCTGAAGGCTGAAACATGAACTTACCGTTTGTATCGACAATCTCGTGATGCAAGTCTACCCACGGGACGGGTACTATTACAGTATTTACGGTAGCTAGTAGTAGTATTAGGGTGAACCAAAAGCTTTCCATTTTTATTCTTTTTAAGTTTGAAAAATTTTTTAAAGCTAATAAATTCGTTTTATTTATACGTGCCATATTTATTTTGTAGCATTTGATCTGCTCTTTCATATTTTACTAAGTTATCGTGTGTTTAACGATTTATTTTTTATTTTTTACTTTGAAGGAAAGAGATGGAAACATTCGAAATTCGGGTACAATGCAAAACCTCACACCGCCAGACAAACCAAGGAAAAGATCAAAAATCTCGACTCAATTGAACTTCTTCCACATCCAGCGTACATTTGAGTCGAATCACGTCGAGAATCGTCACTATTTTGCATTTGATATTTAACTTCTCGGATAACTTCTTGGCTCACAAAAGCTACAAAGAAAATTCTAAAGGATTTGCAATTAGATTCGATTCTGGTACCTGGAGGTTGCATCAAATACATTCAAGCACCGAATGTGGTTTAGAATGCTTCTTTTAAAACGAGGATTTGAGTCTAATATGAAGATTGGATGGTGAATGGGTGAAGATGAAGACTCACAATGAAAATCCGGCTCCACCAATGGAAACCTATCTTGAATGGGTTTGGAATGCGTTTAATGTTATGGCGTTGTCCGACTGGTCTCCGTATCAAATGATTGCCATCAGGGGCGAAAAGATTGACTTTCGATTCGTCGGTGAACAAAACATTGGCCAAATCGTGCGACGTCCAACTTTGATACTTCTTAGCAAACTCGAGACAAAGCTTCCGGTGCCTAGCTACCATCAGAGGTTTCTTGGCGGCCCTTCTAGTCATCAATCCATCAGGCGTCGACTCACTGTTTTTCGAGAAATTTCTTTGTTAAATTGTTGCTTCACCATAGCCACGCCATCAGAGGCATTCAGATTTGGGTTCTTCTTGTGGGCCAGAACGAGCGCATTGTCTTCTCGTAAAGTTGTAACTGGACGTCCACTCTTTGATGCACGATGAAGGGTCCCGCGAGTTTGACCCTGGAGACAACAAGCGATACACTGGTTTTGGTACAGCGGAAGAGCTCAGCGACGGCTTTGCCATTTTTTCGAGCTTTGACGATTTTATCTTTGTCAGAAGTTTATAAGTAGGCCTCGGGCATCTAAATTATTACAGTTAGCAACCAGAAATCATAAGGAAAAAGACAGAAAAAGACAGAAAAAGAAGAAATTTTTCGAAAAACTGTGATGTTAAAAGACTTTTGTCCATTAATTCTTGGCTCAATTTTTGTTTTATTAAAAAGTTAATGATACCTGATAAATTGTTAAATCCATCCTTTTGTAATGTTAAAATTCGAGATAATAAGCTCTTTAAATCTTTTAACCGTTTGCAAATTGGTCGGATTTGGACCCAGATATACAAAGAGCAAACTTCTAAAAACCAACGTTAAAAGACTTTTGTCCATGACTGTATTAAGAAAGTGCTAAAGTACCAAAGGTCTAAACTGAGCCTCAATTGATCTTTCAAAGAAGTGACGTTGTCTAACTTAAGCATTTCCCCAATAAAATCTTCTTTTACCTTAAACTTAAACAGCACCCACAACGATTTCCATGCTGGTTTCGCCGTCATCGGCCATCATCCGATCTGCAGTCTCCATCCCAGAAGTGCTTCGATGGCAGCAAGGGATTTTAAGCTATTTTAAGGGGCTTTTGTGCTTGTCCATTTACAATTATGGTCAATTCAAATAAGTTTAGCGCCGAAGACTTTGTGCCGGGACGCAAAAAGAGCTTTGCGGCTAAATTTGCCGTATGAAAAATTCTTCGCCCGTTCAGGTTCACCGTAAATCTTCGCCGCCCGCAGCTTCAACACCCCAGCGTCTTTTCAATCCTGCTGATAAACCTAAACTTACCTACGAGATGGTGCACTAAAGGTTATTTTGTGGGTGAATGGAATGGAGCTTTCTGAAAAGTGGAACCACAAAATATGGTTTTGTGTACATTATTCTACCGTAGGCCTTTTGATGGCGAGTTCTGAAACGCGCCCCTTTTGTGTATTGAAAGCGGCTTTTTGCGATAAAATTCA